ATAGATACCTAGGGAGAACGGCAAACCCAGAGCATCATAGGCACTCGGAAAATGTAACGCACTTAGGCATAGATCACTGCCCGGGCCTGGCTTGTCTGAGTTGCTCAGAGAGGAAAAATCAGAAGTGTGTGTGTGTGTGTGTGTGTGTGTGTGGTGGGGGGGGTGTGGACAGGAGTCCTGGGAGATGGGGATCCAGGGAGAGGACTGAGAGTTAAAATATATGGGCTCATGGGAAATGAAAAATAAAAACAAATAAGATACATATTTGAGGACCATGTCTGTGTATGAAGACAATTTCCTATGCATCTTTCCTACAGTCAAAGAGAAAGAAGCTAAAAGCAGTTGTTCAGTGATTCAACGTAGTAATGAGGACATGTGTGCATCTCAGATATTTGTGGGCAGCCCCTGTGATTAATTTCTGCCAAAGCAACCTTCCAGGATTAATTGCTTCAACTGTGTTTCTTATAGTATTTGTGTGTGTGTGTGTGTGTGTGTGTGTGTGCACACACACATACACACACACACACACATATATATATACACACACATATATACACACATATATATATGACTTAATAGTGGAAATATATATATATATATAATATATATACACACACATATACACATACACACACATTTATATATATACACATATATACACACATATATATATGACTTAATAGTGGAAATGGAATAGACTGGAGGATTTATTTATAATTTAATAATTAGAGGAAGACTCATGTTAGTGAGGAGCAAGGTCACTCTGCAAAGGCAAAGAGTCCCCATGTGACATATTTCATCTCTTCAAAAATGGTGCCCTTTTATTGCTCAGAATTGTGACCCAGCGAAGATTGTGTTGGTGGTTTTATTTTTGGAGTATCAATTAGTCAATCAATCAGTTCGTAGTTATCGAGCATCTGCCCGGCACGTAGGGCACGCTCATCAAATTTGCAAATGACACAGATCAGGGTGGATGGTAAATACTCAGATGACAGACAGAGCGTTCAAAAAGATTTTGACAGCCCAGCGCGATGGGCTGGATGGAACAGGATGAACTATAACGTGGGTAAATATAAAGCCCCGTCCTTGTCTCCAGAAAACTAGCTGCTGACAGACAGGGGACAGTGTGGGGCCCCCGTGCCTCAGCAGTGAAGTGAGGGGGAAAAGGCAGTATTTTAGCCAATCGTCAGCTCTACTGAATGTATCCCTTTGGGCTGCGTGATGTCATTGCCAAAAATCTCGCAGGCCATTTTGGATTAGATTAAGGCGATAATCCTGTTTTAATTTGGCAAGTCAGACCACACGTAGAGATTTGAGTATTTCTGGAGCCACATTTTAAGAGGAGAGAGACCCCAAACCATGCCATATTGAGAACATTGCAGAAACGAAACACATATGTCCCGAAGACACGGGAGAAGGACATCTTTCTTTGCACCTGCACAGACTCTGTCATGGAAAAGGCATTCGGATTGTTGGGTGAGATCCAAGTGCTTAGAGCCAGGGCTTACGCGTTGAAGTTACAAGGTGGCATCTTTCCGTTCATCTAGCACAGTAAGAGCTGTTCAAAGATGAAAGGGTTCCCCAAACCCACAGAAGCAGAATACTGGAACGATGGGACCTCCGGGTCCTCATTTTGGGGTAACAGCACTGCAGAGGGGCAGTCTGAGAAGCCTTACTCTGCTATTTGATACAAACGGGCTCCTTGAGAGAAAGGATCATGATTTCATTCTCTTGGCCTAACTCATAGGGCCAATGTGGGTACGGGGTGGCCTCATTGAATTAAATGTAAATTGGGAGGATACAGGTGAGAGGAAAACTATAAATGATTTCCCAGGCGAGGAAGTCAGAGCAGGTACTCTGCCAGGGTTTTCCCTGTCCATCAGCAGTTCCTCTTGGTGCTGGGGGCCAGCAGGCATAGAAGAGCAACAGAGATTTGACCTTGCAGTGGCACCGATGATGTGCACAGTGACTGTTATACAGGTGGACTTGGTTGCATTTTTTTCCCCTTGGTAGTTTCTCAGATATCTACTGTATGACTTTCTGGAATTGTGAATTACACTCACATAAGAATGGCCAGGAATTGTACAAAAAAATCTAATACACTCTTGTGCTCAAGTGAATGTGTATGTTCTATCACAGGGATACAAACTGGACCGACAAGGTTAAACTAAACTGTGAAACCCCGAGAGAATGAAGGCATAAGAATGACCTGCTCCCCTGTATCTTTTTTTCCAGCGTGTTTTTGGATTTCTTATGAAAGGTCTAAGGCTTTTCTGCAGCAGCTACTGATTCTACCACTTTGTTCCTTCCAGCCACACCAAGGAACGTGGGTGAACTCCCTTATTCTCACAGGGGCGGAGAATGAGATAGGTGGGAAAGGGCTTTCTCGAAGGGCTTCCTTTTCACAAATCAGGGATTCTATGGCATAGATTTCTATTCCCCTAAATAACTGGCAAGGGGGTCATCAGAATGAGCTATTGCAAAAAGCCACCTTCGCCTTCTCGGTTCTCCTGGGAGGGGGCCCCGAACCAGAATTGCAAAGTCGTTCAGAGAATCTTGGCTTGTAACACAGGGCACGGAGCACCAAGAAGAGGTCATCCTACTTACAGCAAGGCGCTCGGTAGGGGAAGGAACGGCGGCCAGAGTGTCTTGGGATCATCCTTAATCATTTCTTAAGCACCAAGGAAGTGAAAACCTCCTCCTGGAATTCACTGCATGTGACACCGAATCCTTCCACTAAGCAAATATGTGATGAGTTGATAAAAAAGAAAAGAAAAAAAAAAGGAAGAAGAAGGTCCTGAACTCTTGACTGCAGATATAATACAGTGAACACAGAAAATCAAAAGCATGCTTTCTATCTGCCTCCAAATAAAGGTGCACTTAAACTTGTAAAAGACAACATTTCTATTTGAATGATATGACAGAACCGTCACAGGAGTGTTACCTGCCATAAAGCAAGCCGGAGAATTATTGCCTTTATTAGACCAGTGACACTGAGCTTTCGCCATACATTTCTAACTTCTGTCCCTCTACAGAGACAATTTTCTTTTCTTAAATAAACTGTCATGCTAGTGTTAATATATGGCCGGCGCGCTCATGCTCTGAGAATACTGCTGATATAAAACATGTATATGTTAGATTGGTAATAGTATCTTTAGTGTAGCTGACTAGAACAAATGGGTTTCCCTCATGGCTGTGCTAATGTGATAAAGGAAAATTGGCTGTTCATCAGCTTTTGGCTGGGCAGAGACAGTGGAGAGGGAACCACATTCTTTTTTATGCATTAATACCATCGAGAACTTTCCACGAGTGATATTTCATGTGCCCCGCGTGTTGCTCAAAGATGTTGTAAAACATGAGATAATGCTACAAATAACAAAGTAGAAAAGCCGGTATCTTTTATAATGATAACAGTCAAACACCAAATGACAGTAACAGGCTGTAAAAAATGGGATGCAAAAAAATTAAATAAATAAAAAGACAGTCCTTCTCCCTCAGCAGAGAGGTATATATCCAGACCCACAGGAGTTGGCGTGTGAGTGTGTCTAGGTCTTTATGTTAAAGCTTGTGTTAAAATGAAGTAAAAGGCAACATGGGGAAAGGGGGTTTAAGAAAGAACCTGGTGTAAACGAAAGAGGTTGATAGAATGGAGAAAAGCCAGAGTAGAAAACTTTCTATAAATTAATATTACCAAGTAATTATTTTGTTAACGTTCAGATTTTTTGTTTTGTTTTGGAGAAAGAGGTTTGTTCAAAGGGTTCTTAAGGCAGTCACGTGATTTAAAGATGCTGGAGAATTACTTGTTTTCATCAGTTTTTGTGGGGCCATTTTAATAGAATAGCATTTGAAAGCTATGATTTGATATATTTTTTTTATTAAAATGTCAGCCTCTAAACATTTCAACTGCAAGACATACATTTCTCTCTCTCTTTCCCGACCCCATCCACCTCACCAGCTTTTGTTTGCCAAGTCAGCCCCTGGACTAATTAGAGTGTCAATGATTCCTTTTACATTTAACTGAAAAGCACTTAAACAGGACTATTTGTAGAGACTAAAGTTGAGGTCAAAACAGCCTATCAGTTTATTTGGAAAGATGCAATCATTGAGGATTTTCTAGAGATATCATCTGTGAAGTAATCTGTATGAAACTGCATTGCTCCTCAGGGATCACCTTACACAAACAAAAATTTCATAAGGTTGAGTGGTGTGAATCGAGGGATCACCAGGCTAGAACCCCTGGAACAAACCTGCTGGCCACCTGTTTTTATAAAGTTTTACTGGGAGACATTGTGCTCAGTCATTGATGTGTGGTCTATGGCTGGATTCCTATTACCACCACAGAACTGATCAGTTGTGACCTGGATTGTTTGAGCCACAAAATCATTTGCTTGCAAATAAAAGAAAATTACTTTCTGGCTGTTTACAGAGGAAGTTTGCTAATGCCTGTGTAGAGAGTTATTAGGTTGCTAAAATAATTAGCCTAAGAAAAGATTGGCAAATTTATTTTTATTCTATATTGGGAGAGTACAGCTGAGAATTATTAACACCTGAGAAAGTAAATGTTTATATGAAGCATTTTGCATTAGCAACTTAAATTGAATCATATCTATGTCATATATCTATTTTTAGGATGTCTGGTTGTGACTATTTCTCACTTTTGTATTCATTTTTGTTTATTTTCAAATATGGCTATGCCACATTTAACCTAGTAATTAAAGAAACCACATATCTTCAAAAATTTATGAAAGCATGGCCGTCAGAGCTGTTAAATATATGGGACAAACAATTGTGAGAGCCTGTGAATACACTGGTAGGTACCATCACAGTCCAAAACTACAATATGTAGACATACATCATTGAGCCATTCAAATAAATTTTTGTCCTACCAACTGAAGAAAATGGAGAAATAGAAAATTAACTTGAGAAAGACTACTGAAATGTAGTTATCACAAAATTAAAGGATACGCCATTGAACTAATGACGGTGATAATTTCTTGCAGGTGCATCAGACAAAAATCAGTTTCTTCATCAATGGTTTGGAGGAGGACAGCACAGCTTTTGATGTGCAAACTCTAAGTGGTTCAATTATAGATTTTGCCTCTGGTGCTACGCGGATAGGACAGAGTTTAAATGGTAAGATTCTGCCTTCAGAAAATTATTTATTTGATTGTTACTGTGTCAAAAATAATACTTAAAAAATTTCAATACATATACCTAGAAATATGGTTGTAAATATAATTTTTCCAAAATGAAATGATACAAAGGCTTTCTTTGAGCCCTCTAAAAATAAATACTTCCCCTCTATATATTATAGACAACTTTTCATGTTCACATGCCTTCTCATCCTATATAATAAAGAGGTAATATGCAAATTGACCATCACACCAACACACAAGATGACCGCCCCCATGTGGTCAAAGATGGCCACCCCCATGTGGACACAAGATGGCTGGCAGGGGAGGGCAGTTGGGAGGGACCAGGCCTGCAGGGGAGGGCAGTTGCGGTGGCAGGCCTGCAGGGGAGGGCAGTTGGGCGGAACCAGGCCTGCAGGGGAGGGCAGTTGGGGGGGGGGGACCAGGCCTGCAGGGCAGTTGGAGGGGACCAGGCCTGCAGGGAAGGGCAGTTATGGGAAACCAGGCCTGCAGAGGAGGGTAGTTGGGGGGGAACCAGGCCTGCAGGGGAGGGTAGTTGGAGGCGACCAGGCTGGCAAGGGAGGGCAGTTAGGGGCAATTGGGCTGGCAGGGGAGGGCAGTTGGGGGTGACCGGGCCAGCAGTGAAGGTCAGTTCGGGGTGACCAGGCCGGCAGGGGAGGGCAGCTAGGGGTAATCGGCCGGTAGGGGAGCAGTTAGGCATCGATCAGGCTGGCAGGGGAGTGGTTAAGGGGTGATCAGGCAGGTAGGCAGGCTAGCGGTTGGGAGCCAGCAGTCCTGGATTGTGAGAGGGATGTCCCAGATTGGAGAGGGTGCAGGCTGGGCCGAGGGACACCCCCCCCCCCCGCATGAATTTCATGCACTGGGCCTCTAGTTTAAAATAACTGCAGTGTGTATGATTGTATAGCTATAACAAAAACGTTTTATACTTGTTTCTACTAATGAGCATGTTATTTCTAATATTTTGATATTGGCAGTTATTTGATAGAAAACACTATGTATTTGTATTTATATCTTGATCTCATATGCACATACACTCACAATGATATGTACACATATACATGCACACACATTTGAGCAGTTGTCTGATAGTGGAGTTCCTTAAGACTTTATACTTTTGGTGTCATTGTACCTGAGTTCAAATCCCATCTCCCCACTTACTAGCCATGTGACCTGGGTCACCTTTCTAATGTCTCAAATTTAAAATGATGTAGTTATTCCAAATTTAAAATGATGATGACGATGATAATGATATTACAGTTTCATTTGAGGATCACACGAGGTATATCATGAAAAGCATGACTATTTTTCGAGCATTTGGCATATAGTAGTTGTTCAGTATTTATTGAATAAATGAATAACTATAACTGGGCCTTGTATATACTAAACCATATTGTGATTTAATGCTATTGTTAATATTATTACATTTGTTTTGCTAACGTAAGTCCATAGAAGTTAGGTTGAAGTATATGGTCATTTTATATTTTAATGCATATTAGACAGATTGCCCTAATGCATAACAACAGGCTACTTCCTGTTGCCCATATTTTAAAATATGGGCAAGTACTTTCTTCCTTAAACACTAGCTGACCTTACAAATTATTCGTTGTTTTACCTTTGCCATTTCTCTCATTGAAAAATATTGCCGGATGCCTCTTTAAATTATTTGGCCATTAGTAAGTTTGAGTAGCTTTCCACGTGTCTTTCTCGTTTGCATTTGATTTGTTGTGTGTTTGTATTCATACTCTGGAATTTCTTACTTGTAAAAGCTCATAAATGTTAAGAATGTTATGCTCTGCATGTCTTTTTTCCAGTTTTTAGGTAGCCCGATACGTTTGCATTATAGGCATTTAAAAATATTGAAAAATTTTAAGAAAGGCATAAACATGGATGCAACATAACGCATAAATATGAAGGAGCCAGTTTGATGAATTTTTCATCTGTATCAGTAATTAGTATATTGAAGAATTTTATAAAGTACTCTGCATTCAGAATTTCTTAATAACACATTAAATCTTAGGAGCCTTGTTTCAATATTTAATCCCCATTAGTACTTCTGAAAGTGTTTTATTGCTCAAGTATTGCTCAAAGTATTCAATAGCCCCATAAATTTGTCCGCGATGCATGCTGGGGTTGAAATGAGTTGCTCATACTTCATTGTCCTAACTGTGGGAGCCATGCTTCAAAAGGGTGGTGCGGAGCCAGTGTGCTAGTCACTTCCAAACTGTGTGAAAGTAAATTTAACTTCTGATTAGAAAATACATCATTGGAAAAGGGTTTATTTCAAATGTTACTTAGTTCTTATTACGGCTTTCTCCTTAAGTTCCAGGCATCACAGAACTGAAGGAGAAAAGAACATTTAAAAATAAATTTTCTCTTTATTCCATCAATTTATAGGTACAGTTATACCTACTGTATCTTTTCTCTAATTAGAGATGGCACATAGCTGGCTCATTACTTCTGCCTAATGAGCCAGGCCTACGCCACCTCTCTAATCAGAAAGGAGGTGGGTGCAGAATGTTCCCCTGGACTTACTATAAGTCATTTTCTTTCTCCCGCTCGCTCCTTCCCTTTAAATAAAAAAGTGAAGTCACTGTCCTCCATACTCTTGTCCATGCCCAAGACGGTTTCATTCAGGGGAGGTCAGCGTGGCTGCGAGCTGCATTAGAGGTGCCGCTGTGCAGGCCAGGCCGACTGTCTGTGCTTCGGGGCAGATGCGGACAAACACCGGGATCTCCATGGAGGGCCTGGAGGGGACCACGGGCCAGGCTTCCGTGTTTCCCCGTGTCTGCACCTGGTCTTCACAAGTGTGTTGGCTGCTACAGACTTTTTTTTCAAGTCTCATCACTACCTGGCATAACTTTCTAGAAAAATATGTTGCCAGTGACAGTCCCTGTTACTGCTGGCCTTATCTTTCCACAGAGCCTTGTATACATATTCATGGAATATGTAGATATATACTGTGTCTACATATAAGGTACGCACATATATATACTAATACATACATAAATCATAGTGCATGCATACATGCATAACATAATGATAATGCATACATAACAATGTATATGAAATACATGCATATAATACCAACGGGAAAATCTTACTTGGTCAGGCAGGTTTTTAAATACACAAATAGAACACCTTAGACCAGGGGTGGGCAAACTATGGCCCGCGGGCCGGATCCGGCCCATTTGAAATGAATAAAACTAAAAAAAAAAAGACCGTACCCTTTTATGTAATGATGTTTACTTTGAATTTATATTAGTTCACACAAACACTCCATCCATGCTTTTGTTCCGGCCCTCCGGTCCAGTTTAAGAACCCATTGTGGCCCTTGAGTCATAAAGTTTGCCCACCCCTGCCTTAGACCATATCAAGCAACACATGTCAGTTCATTTGGAGAGCGTTTTCTTCCAGCTCTCCCGAGAGCAGCCTCGGACCATCTGGTGAGCTAGGCTTACTCTGCATCTCTTATTCATCAGGATGCCCTCGCTCTGCCCCACTTTCCTCCCAGGCACCACAAGGAGCTGCAGCACTGAGCGCTCCCACGTTCTCTATTATTAAGACAAATTAAAAAAGGGAATAATTAAGAAACAAACACATTTGAGGAAGTGCTTGTTTGGTGAATTGGTCGTTGGTCTAAATTTAATACTTGAAAAACCCCACTTAATTATTGATTTGGCATTACTCATTACATCCCATCCCATCTTGTGTCCTCATGATTCAAACTCTAGCTAGAATTTTGCCATTGTTAAGTTTTTCTCATTATTAACAACATAACGAAAACCATAGAGGTGGTAGTTGTTTTACTTTCTCTTCCCAGTTTCTTGGACTTACCTGTTGGTAAATCTTAAATAAATATTTGCTAAATGAATTAATGAAATGTTATGTGGTTTAAGGTTGATATCTACCTCCACCTTGGGAGGTTACCTAATTGAATGCAGTTTGGACTTGGAACCTGGTGTCTTAGAAGAACTGTTACAAGGTGGTGGCATTTTGAGACTATGCTAGGATGCCATTGACATGTGAATAATTCAAACTCATGAGTAGGAGGTTTCTAGTTTATCCTCATTCATTTGGGGGTTTCCTAGACCAGGTGTTAATCTACGTTGGGAGGGGACCCGAGCTGATGCTCTGGAGCTTGGAGATCACTCAGGTGGGGTGAGAAAGTGGGCAGTCTCCTCGCCACTGCAGATGCTCTGAAAATTGCACTTGGGAGCAGATGACAATCAGATTTAGGGCTGATGAGCTGATAGATTTACAGGTTTATAAACTGGAGGGAAGTTTGACTTGGGGAGGGGACTTCTGGAGAGAGGTCACAAGTTGGGCCAGGAGATAGATTGGCCCAAGTATTCACTTTGCCTGAGTCTTATAATGTCTATGGAGATAACTATGAATGTTAATGTTATTCACGTGGAATTAGCACAATATACATGTTGATCTCTTAAGTGTTTGAAAAGACTGTGATATGTACATGATTAAAAGTTGTTTTGCTTTAAAGGAATGTCACTTGAATATTTGTCAGCCACTGCTTGGTAACATCAGACTTCTCATACTATGTACATGATTGTATTTTGTAGGTTTAGAGCAGTTTGTTGGAAGAATGCAAGATTTTCGATTATACCAAGTGGCACTTACAAACAGGTAAGCAGACATGGTATGGTAAAGCTCCAGAAATCTATCTATATATATAAAAGCCTAAGTGACCAGCCAACTGGCCGGTAGCTGTAATGCTCAATGACCACCAGGGGTCAGACGCTCAATGCACAGGCACAGGATTCATGCACTGGTGGAGTCCCTCAGCCTGGCCTATGGGGATGGGGCCAAAACCAGCTCTCCAACATCCCTCAAGGGGTCCTAGATTGTGAGGGGGCACATGCCAGACAAGGGACCCCATCGGTGCACAAATCCATGCGCCGGGCCTCTAGTACAAACATAAATGCTGAATTCACTTAAGTAAGCATAGCACGAAGATTACTGTTAGGGTGGAGGAGGGCATAGAGGGGATAAATGGTGATGGAAAAATAAAATAAAAAATACATTTCTGAAGAGCAGTCTTGTAGTAATTTGGCGGGAATAAAGTTTGTCCTGGGGGCAAAGATGTCATTGAATAGTCACTTCTGGTACCACTTAAAACCTGATATCAACTGGAAGATGTCAATGAGATGGAACGAAGTGACTTCATGCGATCTAGTGAGTGGAATAGCTGCCTGACTCCGCCACTCCCCCACCAGGGTTGAGAGAAGGAGTCTGTCTCTCCTTAGACCTGGTTGCTGGCAGGGGCCTACCTCAAATGTAGGAACGGTGTCATGTGGAAGAATGCCCACACACAGAGTGACGAATTCCGTTCTAGAACAGGTATTCTGCCCTTAATGGAAAAGTTAAGTCTGTCTGCCTGGAATTGGCTTTCTTCTTGGGCTCTTGGCAGCTGCCATATGAACTGAAGCCATCGAAGCGTTTTAGGTGCCAGGGTTGGTACCGATGAGTCACAGGAAGCCGTTGACAAATGGTCTTGGCCAGAGGCCCTTCCCCTGAAACAGCAGCAGATGAAGTGATGCTGTTTTCTTACTTCCCGCGGATGAGCTGGAGACGCATCTATAACTCATTACTTTCAATATATCAATGGTCACTCAGTGGTCAGTTTAACAACCTAAGTGAATATTACCTTTCTTTTTATTACAAATAGGCACTGTAAAATATTATGCGATTCAAAGAAACATATTGCAAATAGGCACCATAAAATATTATGCTATTTTAAAACATATCTTGCTAATCAGACAAAGGATTGTGCATGCTTCATGATAGAAAATGCTAGTCCTTAAGAATGTAATTTTTTAAATAAAATTAGCATGTTTCATTGTATGAGAATGATTATATTTATGGGACCAGGAATGAATTTGGTTTTATGTTCTGTGTAAAAAAATATGAAAGCTAAATAGATGCTAATGAAAACATCAACATAGTGGTATTCCTTTGTAACATCCCTTAGAACAGTGGTCACCAACCTTTCGGCCCTCACGGACCACTAGGGGTCCGTGGACCACTGGTTGGCGACCGCTGCCTTAGACTATCTATGGCTGTTGAGCTATTTGTCCTCACCGCCTGCCTCTTGACCTCACAGAGAGATTGAGGCCATCTCTGCTGGAGCTCTGCCCACCTTGCATGTCCAGCCCCACTGCCGCTGCCCAGGCAGCCACCCGCGGGTCCATCCCCTGCGCCAGCGGTTCTGCATTCCCAACGATGCGGAGGACACGACCAGGGACAGGGTGTCCCGGCTGCATCCCGAGGCCCACCCTCTCTCTTTTGTCAACGATGACGACATTGAGACTTCCTGGGTCTCACGTGTGTTTACAAACATCACCCAGCTTAATGAAGGAGTGACTATTTCAATAGATTTGGAAAATGGACAGTATCAGGTAACTTGAAGGAATTTGGTGTGTATTCATTGCCTGTGGGTATTGCAATAAATGACCACTAATTTAATGGCTTGAGCAATGGACATTTATTCTCTCAGAGCTCTGAAGATCAGGAGGATGAAATCATCCCTCTGGGTAAGGGCGGATCCTTCCCACCTCTCCCAGCTCCTGGCGGCTCCTGGTGTCACTTGGTACCTCAGCATCACTCCAGGCTCTGCCACCAGGTTCAGGGTCGTCGTCTTGTTGCTGTCAGTTCTCCCTCCTCTTTCTCTTTTGAGGACCACCCTGCATCCAGAAGGATCTCCTATTGAGACTCCTAACTTAATTACATCTTCAGAGGCCCTGTTTTCAAATAAGGTCACATTCACAGCCACCAGGAGTTAGAATTTGAACATCTATTTAGGGGCAGAATTCAGTGTACCACAAGGTAAAACCTGAATTAGGCAATTGAACATTAACTCAGTAAAGAAGTATATTATAATTTATGAAGTGAAAATACCTAAAAGAAGATAGGCAGGGCATGAATTTTTAGAGATTGTTATAAAAAATCATATGAAATAGTGAAACATTCATTTTGTTAAGTAACCAAATTAATAAAAACACGTGCTTATTTTAACTAACTACTTAAGAAGAACATATACCAATTATTTCATGGAAGTAATGTTTTTTTTTTTCATGTCTTTATAGCAAACTTCATATTGATTTAAAATCCTTGAGAAGATGCACAGCTATTTAATGATAGGTTGTGTTGCTTTTACTACAGGGCTGTGGCATTTCTGAACGTCTATGAGTGCTTATTGTTATTATGAGGAAGTAAACATTATATTTGAATACACCAGTTCCATGGTTTGATTTATACTGATGGGTTAAAACTTAAAACAACAATGGTAATAATTGACTTACTCATTTCTAGGTGTTTTATATCATCGTTCAGTTCTTAAGTCCACAACCAACAGCAGTAAGGATTCAGAGGAAGAAGGAAGACAGCCTAGATTGGGAAGATTGGCAGTATTTTGCTAGAAATTGCAGTGTTTTCGGAATGAAAAACAATGGAAATTTGGAAAATTCAGATTCGATCAACTGTCTTCAGCTTTCAGAGTATGAATATTTTTGAAATCATTGTCTGTGAAGGCATTTAGGAGTTAATTCTCATAGACTATGGGATAGTAATAGCCTACAGGTAAACTTAAGTCACTAGGCTAGTAGAGTCTTTCCCTTACCACCATCTCTTGAGGCAAATTGGTCTAGGATTCCTTCCTACATTGGATTTTAAATTATGTTTAAATTTACTTGTAAAGATGTTAGAGTATCTCTTGCTTCCAGTCTCATCTGTGCTTTACAATCTGACTTTCAGATTGCTTAGCAAGTTATCTGTATCAATAGAATTTTTATGATGTCCTCAAGGAAATGTTTTACTATGTTTTTCTATGATGATCCTATATGCACATGAAATCTGTGGACTATTTTTTCCAGAGTGAAGAATTTGAGCTGTTACGGAATATGGTGTTCTGATTTGTTTTGTCAAAAATATGAATAACTTCTCATGATTGCAAATATCTTTCCTCAACAGTTTTACTCCATATTCCCGTGGCAATGTCACATTTAGTCTCCTAGCACCTGGACCAAATCACCGTCCTGGATACAATGACTTCTATAACACCCAGTCTCTTCAAGAGTTTGTAAAAGCCACCCAAGTAAGACTTCATTTTCATGGACAGTACTATACAACTGAGCCTCCCGCCAGCCTCGGACACAGATACTACGCGGTCAGTGAAGTCACCATCACCGGCAGGTAGGGTTTCACAGCAGTGTGCTTTTCACTATGAATTTTGCTTTCCAGATTCTTGTCAGACTTATTTAAAACTATGTTAGTTAAGATTTTAGAGGAAGCCAGATTCCAAGCTTCAGGTATTAAAATGCTTTCCTACTCGATAAGATTTTTGGGCGAGGTTTGTATGTGAGTCTTTTCTGTCTAAAAGATCACATTTCTATAGAATCAATTTTCAAAATATTGGGTTTAGAAGTTATGATAACCTGGATCTGACTAAAAAAAAATAACTTGTCAAATATTTTGATTGGTGTGTTCTGGATTGTAATTTTCAAGTGTTCTAGAAATGAAACAGAAGGAGTTTGATTTTGAGCTATAATGGTGCTACCAGTTAGTTTGTAAGTACTGGGCTTGGTCTCCCTGGGTTCACAATTCATAACTTTATGAAGAATATTTGTTTTCCTTTAAAGGAATAATATAATATGCCTTAAGTAATTTATAACTGTCTGACCATAGTTGAAAAGTAGATTCACAATGTTTAAATAAATGGATGAAGGGCTCCCCGGCAGTGTACTCTCTAGTCTGGAAATGGTAAACATATGCACTACATTCAGAATTGGGTTGTGCTGGAAGGACATTGTACCCTGTAAAGAAAGTACATCTTTCAAACCAACGCAGAATACCAGTCTATAAGCTTTGTTTGTTAAGTAATAGCATGATTTAAAAAATACTACTAAATAATCAATTTTTGGAAAGATAAGCAAAAATAAAATTTGTTAACTTCTACCTGCAGTTTATTCTAAAACTGCTAGTCTTAACTATAAGTTTTGAATAGTTTTATTAAATGTCTTCTCTCTGGGCAAGTTTGCCACATGGTGTTTATAGGTGTACACAACCCAGGTAGGCTTGAAAATTACCTTCACCATCACTGTGGTTTGGATATTCATGAAACTTCCTTCAATACTTCATGATTAATTTAAAACTTTCCATGAGCCCTGGCCAGTGTGGCCCAGTTGTCCAGTGAACAATGTCCAGTGTACCTGTCCAATCCTGGTCAGGGCACATGCTCCACCCCTCTTCCCAGTAGTGGGCATGTAGGAGGCAACCTTCTGCTCTCACATTGATGTGTGTGTGTCTCTCTTTTTTTTCTCTCTCTCTCTCTCTCCCTCCCTCTCTCCCTCCCTCCCTTTCTCTCTCTCCCCACTACTCTTTCTCTAAAAATTAATGAAAATATATTTTTTAAAAATATAAGTTTCCATGAATATCCACATGACTAAAGAGAGGTTGGTTTTTGTGATGACACTCTCACCTCCTTGTTGAATTCACACAGTGGGTATATACCCAGGTCCTTAGACGTATTAGCAGTTGAGCTGCTGTTTCCTGGGAGCTGTCTGATGGATGCTCCTGTTCGCAGGTGTCAGTGTCACGGTCACGCCGACAGCTGTGACACGACGAGCCAACCCTATCGGTGCCTCTGCTCCCGGGAAAGCTTCACCAGGGGACTTCAGGTGAGTGCTATTTCATGCATGGAAACCCCCAAAGGAGGAGCAGGGAGCTTGAGAAATAGCGAATATAAATTCTTCAAACTTACTAGTACTTTTGGCCTATCTTCTGGGTATGAATAAAAATATGTGATAAGAATCTAAAAATGTCAATTATTTTAGAAAAAAATTAAAGAAAAAAAAATCTCAATAACCCTCAATAATGTTGAAAATTTCTTTTTAAAAAATAAACCCTGAGAAATAATGAATAAAACTAAACCCAGAGGGGTTTCTTAATTTTCCTTGTTTCATCAGCATTATCCTAATTCATAAAACAACTATGAAAAAAAGTGTCTAGGTTTCTCAAAAAATTAAAAATAGAACTACCGTATGACTCAGCAAATTCAGTTCTGGATATTTATCTGAAGACGGACAAAACACTGTTTTGAAAAGATAAGTGCACCCCTGTGTCTATTGCAGCATTAGTTGCAATAGCCAAGATATGGACATGACCTAAGTGTCCTTTGGTAGATGAATGAATAAAGCAGTGGTTGCCATTTGTGACAACATGGATAGACCTAGAGGGTATTATGCTAAGGGAAATACATCAGACAGAGATAGACAGATATTATATGATTTCACTTCTATCTGAAATCTAAAAAACAAGATAAATGAGCAAACCTAACAGAAACAAACTCATAGATACAGAGAATAAATTGATGGTTGCCAGATTGGAAGGGAGTTGGGAGGAATGGGTAAAAAAGAAAGGATTAAAAGTACACATTGCCAGTTATAAAAATAGTCATGGTATAAAGTAATAAGCATAGGGAATATCAATAAAATAGTAATAACTATGCATAGTGTCAATGAGTACTAGATTTATTGGGATGATCACTTCCTAAGTTATATGTCTAAATAACATTGTATGCTAACTGTAATTTAAAATGAAATTTAAAACTGGCTCTTAGTTTGATAAGATACTTTGTTTTCTGCGCTTCTCCTGTTTTATTTTGACTGGTTAGTTCCCACCCACCTCCAAACCCCACTCCCCTCTCTCTCCCTCTTGGTGCCCCATCCATGTTTCCTCTTTTCTCTCTCTTGAATTTCTCACATTGAAGTGATTAATATTTTATGATTCTTGGGTGATTTCATGCTTCCCCTTAAAAATAGAGCCGTTAAATGAATCCCAACTCGGGATTGGTTACAGAAGTCACGTTGGGACTTTCACAGTTGGTCTCAGGTGGTGACTGTTAGATTATGAACTAGTGCAATAATTAACCATAATTTAGGTGGGGAATACATTTTAATGCTTCTTATTTAGACATAAAGTGCCTTTTGAAAACAAAAAGTTGACTTTTTTGGTTATTTTCCTGTTTGACACCTTTTGATAATTTATGAATTTAGCCATAAATATAAAAGCAACAAATAGCTTCCACTTTAGAAAAATTTGGCAAATGCAGCTGAAGGGAAAAAGTCAATAGACTGTTACATTGAGTGATTTCTCAGTCCTATATTTTCAACAAGGTGTTGAAAATGAAAAATGATTTTATAAAACATTCATAAGCATGGCATTCTCTTTTTGTTATCATTCACAGTATTTTAATACATGTGGGACTCAATGTATCTGAAAAAGTTGTCTTGCAATAGTTTGAAAATATACTTACTCAAGTGCTTTACACATTGTCCTTCCTTTTAAAATAATGTTTTAAGATAAGCCATTCATTTCCTATTGGAACCAATGTTCTTTTTAAAGATCTGGACATAATCCAAAAAGAATGTCTTCAATTTCACAGTATTATGCTAACCATTAATAATATTACTCAATAAACAGGGCTTTTGCGAATTACATTACAGCCATTTGGCAAACAGAGGAACACGTAAGCCTTGAGAATATGCCAGTTCTTGGCAATTGTCAGGCCTGTGAGAAAGTGATTTTAGCAGGAGTGAAAATGAATGAAGTTGGGAGAAAGCAGTGGAATGATGAATTCAGGAGCAAGTTCATGTACGGAGCCATTCTAGGGAATTTTCTGTATGAAGCATTCTTCAGTTGTTCCTAAAGGTTATGTCACAAATCGGTGGTCCACGGGTTTTTTTTTGTTTTAATTTTGAAGATGAGGTCTCTGGTACATTGGCTTCTAAATCTCTCCACTCTACCTTCCTAGCTCTTTTTTAGATCATTTCCTAACTAGTTGTGCCAGTAGCTTTATTGCAACACAGTACCTCTGGTCCACCTGCTCAGAAAGCCCATCATCACTTTCCAAAAGCATGTGTGAAGTTCATAGATACAGACCACAGCCTAGGAAGTGGAAGCTTAGGTGTGTGTCGTATATGTCAACTAACATGGTTGTGTAGCTACAGTAGGCCTTTTCTATTTTTTTGTTTTTTGGTTAATCCTCACCCAAGGATTTTTTTCCATTTATTTTCAGAGAGAGTGAAAGGGAGAGGGAGAGACAGAGAGAAACATCGATGTGAGAAAAAACACACATTGACTGTTGCCTCCCACATGCATCCCAACCAGGGCTGGGTTCAAGCCGGAAACTCAGGTGCGCCCCTGACTGGTATCAAACCCAGGACCCTTTAGTCCATGGGCCGATACACTATCCAGTGAGCAAACTGGCTGAGGCTATGCCTACTCTTTTCACTAATACTTTATTGATCTGTTCTAAGAGTTCCAGTGTTGATAGACTCTAGCTTTAAGAAAAGTGTTACATGCCCTAACCGGTTTGGCTCAGTGGATAGAGCGTCGGCCTGCGGACTCAAGGGTCCCTGGTTCGATTCCAGTCAAGGGCATATACCTTGGTTGCGGGCACATACCCAGTAGGGAGTGTGCAGGAGGCAGCTGATCGATGTTTCTCTCTCATTGAAGTTTCTAACTCTCTATCACTCTTCCTTCCTCTCTGTAAAAAAATCAATAAAAAAAAAGAAAAGAAAAGTGTTACAAGTTGAAACTTGCATCCTTAGGATTTTCATTTTATTTTAATGGCTGCGTTCACCTTTCTGAGGCTCCAGGCCAGGAGTGACGCAATGACCGGTACCTCCGCCAAGCACTGGCACTTTGTTGGCTCCTTAGCTATTCTTTCATCATTTTGTGACATCATTACCTGCAAGGGTGGCCAAGCGTTCACAAAGCAATTCATTAGGAACCATGAATACTCCTCTTATTCTTTGGCTCTGATTTGTGACCCTCTTATAACATTGATCATGGCTTTTATGAATTAACTACAATCAAACTATCAATATGAATCTCAGCATTATAAATAGCAGAGCCAACTTAAAACATTTTATATAATAAGCCTTCCTTCCATTCAGTAATTTGATGGTGAAACATCACACTCTATAATGCTTATTATGCAAATGAATATTTCCTGTTATTTTAAAAAGTATGTTCCTTTAGATCACAAAAGTCTGAAAATATGAGTCATTATGACTAACTTGTGTCATATTTTTACTACACATCAAACTCCACCGCTGATGTTTTCTCTTTGCTCACAGAAAGATTATACTCTCAATATATTTCATTTCGTGTTATAATTTTTGTAATACTGATGAATTCATTTTTATTAACTATCATTCAAGCAGTTCATATTATAGATTCCACATTAGTTGTACATTTAGTGAGTCAAGGTCAAGCATTTCATTTACTCTCTGACACATGGTGATATTTTTAATCTTTGAAAAACACTTGCACTAGTAATTTCCCTGAGATAGATATGTGCATAAATGCATTTAAAATGTAAGTTAAAAATAAAAAAAGGTTAAGAGCATGGGGTATATTGAGACGGATTCATAGAAGTAGCAAATATAGATGATGAAAACAGAAAAAAAAAATGAAAAGTGATTTTGAAGGGATAAGGGTAAAGGATTTTCCAAAGCTGAGGAATGGCATGGTTCTTGGAATTCTAAGTAGACTGAGAAAAAATAAACACATACATAGGTAAGATATAATAATTCTGCTGGTCACCAAAGACCAAGAGTAGATCCTAGCAATAGCCAGAGAGAAAAAGTCAAATGATTTATAGACACAAATGTTTAAGAAATTGTGATATTAGATTTCTCAAGTTACAACGGAAGGCAGAAGACAGTGAAATATTACCTTTGAAGTGCAGAAAGAAATAACCAACACCTCTAGAATATTTTATTTGTAGCTAGACTATCAGTAAAAGCATATAATTCCTAGGAATAAATTTAACCAAAGAGGTGAAATGCCTGTACTCAGAAACCTATAAGACATTAAAGAAAGACATTGAAAATGATACAGATAGAAGGATATACCATCCTTGTGTGTCGGAAGGATTAATACTGTTAAAATGTTCTCACTACCTAAAGCAATATACAGATTCAATGCAATCTCTATTAAATACCAGTTACATTCTTCTCAGAACAAGGACACTTACTCCTAAAATTACTATGACCCTCCATCTACCAAAAACCCAGTAGTCAAAGAGAAAGAACAAAGTGGGAGGTATCACACGCCCATATTTCAGAGTAAACTACAAAGCTACAGTATTCAAAATAGTCTGGTATTGGCATAAAAACAGATACACGTAGATCAATGGAATAAAATGGAGAGCCCTCAATTATATGGTCAATTAATCTATGATAATAAAGGCAAAGATATACAATGGGATAAAGAAGAGTCTGGAATAATGGTGTTGGAAAAACTGGACAGATGAATGCGAAACTAGGAAAAAAAGAAGAAATTGGGCCACTGTCTTTCCCCACATACAAAAACAAACTAAAAATGGGTTAAGGACTTACATGTAAGACCTGATACCATAAAACTTCTATAAGAAAACATAGGCAGTAGACACTTGACATCCATCAGAGAAATGCAAATAAAAACTATTATGAGATATCACTTCACACCTGTCAGAGTAGCTATCATCAAAAAATCAAATAGCAAATGCTGATAAGGATGTGGAGAAAAGGGAATTTTCACACACTCTTGGTAAGATTGTAAATTGGTTCAGCCACTATGGAAAAGAGTATAGAGATTCCTCAAAAACTTTAAAATAAAGCTGTCATAA